TTTTTTTAAAAAAAAAAAAAAAAAAAAATATGCTACATTGTCCAGGCAGGGCTTGAATTTGAAATCCTCCTGCCCTAGCCACCCATAGTTCTGGGATTACCAACAGACAAGCATGCACCACTACACCCAATTTACTGATCTCTATTCTGAAATCTTACTTTCTCTCTAATGTCCTGTTTAAAAGCTCTATCGATAGCATTTAAATCGGAAGATCTGGACTGTATAGTCCAAGCAAGTGTGCTACCATAAGTAAGACTTTTACTGTTTCTTCACCTGTTTCATCATCAGTGAAGTGAGATTGGTGGTTCTCTGAAGGATAAATGAGATAATCCAATCTCATTTAAAAGAAACCACTATTGAAAATAATATTGTCTAAATTATCAATTGTGCATATCTGTGTGTAAAATCTAAGACTCTATTTTGACACAATCCTTGAGGAAACTACACTTTACCTTTAAAGTGAAAAATTAATAGGAAATGTCTCTATTCTTCCTCCTGTCCATAATGAAAAGGAAGATTATGGTAAGAGGACGTATACCCATGGAGAATGTAGTTAAAATCCAGATGACCCTTGAGGGACCCTGTCCTATTTGGCAGATAAAGATTTCTCTACCGCCTATTTAATAAATTAATTTTTTTAAAAGAACATAAAGAAAAGAGTAATAACTTAGAGCTATCTGGGCACCTGAGTCTGTCAGCCCTTAAGGGCCTTGGCACCTAAAAGGGGTGGGAGGGGCTTGTCTCTGAGGCTTAGAAAGTGGCCTTCTTTGAGGCATTAGGGAAGCTCTGGCAGCCCCAGGAGCTAAAGGGCTTAGATGCCTAGGGCATTAGTCCATTAGTCCAATAAAAAGCCAGGGAAAAAATGGCTGGTAAGTAAATTTGCTATTTCATTTGGTACAAAAGAGAAGGCAAAACACCAGAATATTCAATGAGCTGAAGCACAAAATGTGGCATGGATATGAGTGCAGGCTGACCTCTTCTAGGGAACATTTCTAAGCCTGAATGAAACATTCAGTACCCAAGCTGTTATACAGTATCATGCATTTTAAACCATGGTGATCCTTTTGTTTCTCTGATAGGTGAAGATGAGGATGAATTTGAGAATTTCATGCTGCCTCTTACAGTCTCTTTTGAAACAGTATTACAAATATTCAACAACAACTTTAAACAAGAAGATGTGAAGGTGGGTTTGTTCCTAAACATGAGGAAAGACAATTTTTGTTCTTGGTAGAATATCTGGCACCAGAATAAGATTTACACATTTGCGTGTGCCTTGTACCTCTTAGACCTGTATTGCCAATTGCATGTGTCTTCGAGTTGCACTTTTCATACTAGCACTTTTCTAATTTCTTGCACAATTGGATTTTGAGGTTGGCAAATGCTTTTGAATAGTCAGTTAATGATTAGATGTCATAGATTTGTCTCTTGTGGCAGTTACTATCTTGTGTAAGATTTGTTTGTTTGTTTGTTTTTGAGGTACCTCACTTTAAACATCTTGGTTCCCTCGTGTTGTGTTCCTTCGTACCCCTATGGAGAAATGCACAAATAAACATGCTAAAACATTACATCTCTAAATATTTTTTAAACTAGAATTTATATAAATCAAGACTTTATTAAATGGGTAGGCATATATGTATAAATAGGAGCTGGTCTTGAAATATTGCATTCTTAAACTGAACAAAGTGATTAGGATAACTGATAGCTAAATAAGGTTTTTATGTGCCTGTGGGAGCCATATTAGGATTGATTTGACAAGTCAGTTCAGCTGTGGCAACAGTCATAATATCTAAGACAACATTATGTTTTATTAGTAAAATCCTTAAGTATAGCAAGCTGTTTGTGACAAAACAGTCCCATATTTTAATGTGGAGGATGGAAAGCACAAGCTCTGCTAAATAGAAATAGTATCTCCTGAAATTATAATGTATCAGAGCTATTTAAACAGTTTAACAATGATTATTATTTTTAAAACATTAATAAAGGCACTCTAGAGAATGTAGTTGGTACCTTTGTTGGTGATACTTGAGTCATATTTTATTGTTATTTGAATTATGTTAGAAAATTAACCATCTTTTGCATGGTTCCTCTTCTCTTCACCAAGAAAAATTACCAGTAAGAAGCCAAATATAACAATGATTGCCTTTGATGATATTTGCATAATTCTGCCAAAAACTAATTAGCCAAAGGCTATACCTTTTAATTTAAAATATACTTTTTAAGATAAATGTTTATCAGGATGCCACAGTAGTAAAATTTTAAAACCAGAAAGGATCTCACAGATTTTTTTGGTATTTACAGTCTTGCTGAAATTCTTTATCAGACTTTCCACACTAGTTAACTATATTTTTAGATGTCTTCCAGCTATTTTTTACTAATCAAAAAAGTCTTTGCAGCTTTAAGGTGGCAGGCCATTGCTGCCTTTTATCAAAAAGGAGCAGTGAGGTTAAGAAACACTATCTTTATAAAAATTACATTTGCCTCATTTGAAGATTTCATTATATTCCGAGCCTGTTTTGATGTAATCCCATCTAGTTTGATAGAAACCATCTTCCTAGAGTCATTTTTAATGGAGTTGCAGTGATATATCCCTAAACCAGCAAGTTCTTAACGACCCTGGAAAGTGACTGCTTGATTACACTTTAACGGTATTTGCAAATAAAATCACAAGTAATTAAGGGGAAATCTCCAGGCTTTTGAGCAAGTTTGATGCATGATAACTGCCTGATTCAGCTTCATCTAGAGTAATGCTGTGTAGGCAACAGCTACTGAGATCAATAGCAACGTAATGATAGTGGCAGAATTAAGTGAGTAACCTGAGAACTGTGCCTCAGAATGCATGCAGCTGCCATGAACCAAGGCCACACAGTGCACTCCGTGCTTCTGTCCTAAATGTTCATCAAAAGACGCCCTGCAGGAAAATGGAGTTAGATGCTCTTTATTGCTGATCGTGTCTCTTGCCACATTTATCAGGGAAATTGGATTAGCAGTTGGCAGCTGCAGGTAGACAAGATTCTGCAGTGATTAAATATGCAGCTTGGCTGCATTTGTTGTGACAGACCTTTAGTAAATTCTACTGTAAGCACCATCTGTCTAATTTGTATAAAGAAAACTTGGTGCTTTAAGCTACCGATAAAGAACTAAATCTGTTGCTTTATCATAAACAAAACTTTTGCACTAAATGCTTTTAAATGTAATTTATTAGGTTAAGGCTATTTTTCTATCATGATGAATAAATAATACATGCAGAAGTGCTTTCAGGTACTTCATTTTGCAAGTACTAGAGATAAAAACAGTTCTGTTTTGTTCTTCAATAAAGTATTTAGTATTCCAATCCACAGGAGGTGATGCTGTTAAAATATCTCTATGAAAATGCCATAGGACTGCCAAATTCATTTAATTTGCAGCCCTTAGCAGGAAATTCTAACTCCCTATTTATGGACATTTTTCAAATGCAGATTTCAGGATGAATTTAAACATTATGGACCTATGTTGCCAAGGTGAAATACAGTTTGTGAGGAAAGGAAATGCTGTAACTCTTAAATTTATAGCTTTGTTTTCTTACTTAGTTCTAATAAAATTGAAAAGAACATTGAATTTTTGTCTCACTTTTTTTCTCTCCAAAGTAAAGGGAAGGGGAAAAAAATACCTTGACAAATCCTGACTCTGGAGTATTATTTGAAAACATATATTTTTCCCCCTATAATTTTATCCATAGTAAAAAATAGTCTGATACTTCCCTGACTCAATGCATCATTTTTTTATTTGGCCATGATGTCATCAGTTTTAAGGAAAATGAATGAAAACTTCTCAGAGGAAGAGGAGCAGTTAAATAGGAACCTGCTATCTTTAGTCCCTTCGTAAAAACTCCACCATGTTAAATTATTTAAAATCCTTGATTTTCAGCATGTGCACATTAAAAGTTTTCGCACTAAGTGCCAAATGTTGCAAACAGCACTTTAACAGAATGATTTTGCTTTGATCCCTGTAGCAGTTCCTGAATAATTTATCACAGGTTATTGCCTTAATTCTGGAGAGGGATAGAGCAATAAAGGCAGATGAAAACACTCCAGTTGAAACACCTTGGGGCCTGCTCATTCCTCTGACACGGCTCTTTTGTTGGAACTATTTAGAGGTTATTAAGATGTGTCTCCAGAATTAAGAGAATGCTGTAAGGATGAAGACAGCCATCTTAATTCTAAAGACAAAGCACAATGACCCTTCACCTCCTTTTTCTTTGTTGTTATTATATAGTAGAATTATGAGGATAATATTATTGCTGCCCCCAGTAGTGCCACTACAGTAAAGGTTCTGTCAGACTTTCCATTAGAAACCCTGTTTGGGGGGTCAGGGTGGAAGTAGCCGCATTTCAGCTGTTTCCCAGCCCATCCGTCTCACACTTGGCACACAGACAACTGTTCACCATGCAGCCAACTGAAGCACTCAGCAGTTTCTCCTTGAACTATCCAAAAGGAATCCATAGGATTAGATCATCAGACCTACCCTGCTCCACCAAACAGCTTCACTAAAAATACAGGACCCTGTCACTTTTCAGATCAACTTAGCATTGGCCAAACACGGACGAGAAGCAACTTCGGAAATAAACCTCTTTGTAATATTTTAAATGAAATGGTAAACTGTGGTTCCCTTTTTCCTAAATTTCAATCAGATCAATCCTCACTCTCAAAATTACTTAGTAGTCTAGTAGAACTCCTATTTAATACGTTTCCCCTCTAATACCAGCACTGTGTGTATTTTGGCTGTCAAGAAAATACATTTTTAGTGTTTGTGTATCTGTGCAGAATTAATACAGTACTCTCAGCTACTTGGAAATAAAAATACTGTTTCAGCATAAGAAAACTGTAATATATATTTTGTGCATATACAGATCTACCAAAGTAAAATTCATATGCACTAATTTTTAAAATATAGGGAAAAAAGAAATATGTTTCTTATCTCATTACACTGCACTTTCCTGCTCAGGTGCCTATTTAAAACTGACATTTAGTTATATGCCTCTTCTGCTTTGTAGTAACATTTTCTAAAATCAACATTGATATAATTTCATGGCCACATTTTACTGTGATAAAATAATTATAGATTTGAGTCAGAATGTTTCTATTAATTTGGCATCTTTTAAGAGAGAAAAGAGCTCAAATAGAATAAGAAAAATTGATAAAATAAAAACCTTTTGTATAACAGTGATAGTTTAAAATATTTTATTAAAAGCCCTTTGTACTAGGTGAAAAGAAGTAAGGCTTATGTTTTTCTTAGTCACTACTTTAGAGATGAATGATGGGTTCCTTATAAGTTGGTGGAAGCTTTACGTTATTTGAAGCGTAGCCTATAACCCGTAAGTGTATACAATAAAAGCAGAACAAAAAGGCTACCTAACTGGATGGCAGAGCCAACTGTAGAATCTGTAAGATTGTGTAGACTGCAGTGAGAATAGAGCTGTTAGAAGAAAGCTTCTGAGACATATTTTGTTTTAGACACTGTGAGAAATATGGAAAGTTGATAAAGAAAACAATTCCAAGAAGTGTTTTTTTAAGGCTACATAATAAGCAAAATCTTTTGTTTTCTTTTATAAAATAGGTCACATGAGGTAATTACATGGAGGCCAGCTAATTATAGAAAAACAAGAACTTGTGAGATTGTGAAAGAAAGAGGAGTAAGTCATTTAAAGAAGCAAAAGCAAATTCAGAGTTTAGAGATTCTGAACTTCAAGTTACCATCATTGAGTAAACTGTTAGACAATAGAAACTGAATATTCTTGTAAAAGACATCCAAAATTTTGAGTTACCGTTTAGGTAGGAAAAGAAGGGAGGATGTAAGTTGCAGGCACTGACCAGTAAAATATTATTTGCTCATTTGAAATGTTGTTTAGCCATTGAGATGAAGGTCAGGATTCACTCCCTTGTTAATGATAATTTAAATTTAGGAAGTTTTCTTTTGTTAGCAAGATGTAAGGTAAGAGAAAATCTGACAAGGATAAAAGTTCAGAGACTATTTTCTGTCAGAATATTTCTATTGAAATATTCTATCTTCAGAAGCCAGTTTCATATCTCTGTTGTCCCAACCCCTTGTTCTACAATTATGTTTAATTTTGCTCTTTGTTCTGACATCCTAGTATCTGTTCATGGGTTTGTTTGTTTGTTTGTTTTTCCCAAGCAACATCCTAAAGACAGCTTAATTCAAAATCCAGAGTACAAGCCAGACCTCTTTTATTCAAGTCAAGAGTTACTCTTTTCTTTTACCCTCTAAATACTTATAGACTCCTTACTACTATCAGGCTTTTTGCTAAGCACTTGTATTCATTCCTCACGTACTCTCTGAGTCATTATTAGCTCGTTTTATAGAAGAGAAAACGGAGACTGAGACTGACTTGTCTTTGAGTTAGGTAAAGCTAGGATCAAATTTAGGTTTTAAGACCCTGGATACAGAACTCTTTTCCTTACATCTTTTCCTTGCTTGATGAATACATATACCATTCTGGGTGTATAAGTAGTACACTTAGCCAGTTTTATTTTGTCCTAAGTTATCAAGAATACTCATTATGAATCTTTAAATGCCAGAGCATTACTCTAAACTGTACAGTACAACTGGATTTGATGCACAATAATTTTGTTAAGATTTGTTATTAATTATCTAGACCCTGTGCATATTTATTTTGTGAAATTATTGGTCCAGGTCTTTTTTTCTAATTTGGCAATATTCAGAAACAAACTTAAGGATCTTAATGTTCATAAGCTATTAGAATTATAATTTAGCTCAGTTTATAAGAAGCAAAGTGGAGTTGGTCAACAGATTGATAGTCTGTTTAAAAAGTCTATGGTTTTCTATAAAAGGGGATCTGAGCAAGACATTTTAGCTAATGAATCAAAACCAGATATGTGGTCATTATTGCCTGATTATTACTCCATCTGCTCTGCACTAACGTGAAAATCAATTACAGTGTCTCTTTCCCACTGACAGCGTATGTTGATCGGGCTGGCAAGAGATCTTCGAGGGATTGCCTTTGCACTGAACACAAAGACCAGCTACACCATGCTGTTTGACTGGATGTATCCTTATTACACTGTGACAATACCAGCTCTGTGCACAGAGGGATGCCAGGCCCCTTGCTTTCGTTTAATAGTATGACACAGTAGGGAAGAGGAAACAAAGCTAAATGAACTAATGTGTAATCAGCTAAAAATTACAGCACAGTGGCAGCAGTGCAGATAACTGAGCACAGCATTTGGAGACCCTCAGAGAGGTCACTTTTTTGGTGCCATTAAATATCGACATCTTAAAAATCACTTCTCCCAGATGATTGTTTATGTTGAGGTTGCAGGGATAATCTGGCTAACATCTTTACTTGGGATCAATGATTCTTACTGTTTGGCATTTTTGAAGAGATTTGAATCTCTACTCCATCTCAATTAGCAGGGCTGAAAAGTGCACTTTATCTCTTTAAGATTTAACTCAAGCTACAGTTTTTCGTCATGATGAAAATATTAATGGGCATGAAAAGGGGAATATAAATGATCAGGAATTGTCGCTTGGCGTATAATTTAATACCACTGTCAAGGCTCACTATAAAAGAAAAAAAAAACCACAGAAATGCCTCATCACGTAAGAGTGAAAAGGAACAGGATTTTGGTGTCACACACATGAGGCTTGGATTCCCAACTTTTCAATTACTGTGTAAACCGTTCAAGTCATTTACCTCTCTGAGGCTTGGTTTCATTGTCCAAAAGGGGGATAATCCAGTGTCATGGTTCTGACCATGAAAATAGGTTAACACATCTTGTATAATGTGTGGCACATTTTCAGTCATCATAAATAGTTATTAACATTTTTAACAACTGTATGAAGCATCTTTGATCCTAACGGACAGTTTATATAAGTATAAACAATGCTTTTGTGCTCTTTATGCATGAAACCATTTACTTTCTAAGTTACACAGTTTCTCACTTGCTTTATTCAAATCTTTCTAGTCCCAACTTCCTTTATGGATTGCAATGGATTGCAATCTTCAAATTGTCATTTAAGTGCTGTGCCACAGCCATTGTCCGAAACAACTAACTGGGGATATGGGCATGTTTTAGAGAGAACTCTATCATAAAAATTTGTATCATTAACTTAAATACTGCTTGTGTTTTTAGTTATTATTAAAACATCATCAGATTTATGTGTCCAGAGAAGGGTTAGTGATATTTCCATGTCACTGAGGAATCAAATACATGTTCTTTATAAGCGCTGTAAATTTTAATATGGAAAGTCTAATTCTTCTGACTATGAAGGTTAAGCTGGACTTACATATGACATATTTGGATAATTATTTTATTTCCCTAAACATAAGTTGCAGTTCCCAAAATAAAAACTTCCTTTAATTAGAAAAATGACAAAAATTTAGTTTTGACATTTTAAAATTGATGTGCTTGAAACCAAGCTATAGCTCTCAGCTTTCCAGAAATTAGCATTTCATATTTTCATTTTCAACAGTTTTAACCAAGAATCAAGGTCAACTTTGCTCTTGGTGTCAAAGTATAAATTCTGCTTTCCATTTTTTTACTTAGCTCCTTTTGGGTACCTATTTGAAATGAAACTTCTGGCCAGCAGATGGCAGAAAATAGCAAATGCAAAAATCTTGGACTTAATGTTTTGTTTTGAAACAGAAACCATTGTCTTCTCCATTTGACCAGAGATGTTGAAGTTATTAGGGTCAGAAATGAAGGGTAAAGTGTCAGCTATGCAGGAAGCTGTGTTAGATTGCCAAATGCAGTGGTTTGATACTGGCTTTGCTTATAATAATTGAGTTTCAGTAGCAAATCAGCTTCCTTGGGAAAAGGCCAAAGGCTTTTCATAATTGTATTGACAACAAAATGAATATGATAAATGGTGTTCATTCAGTTGAGACAAGATTTATAGTTTTCCTTTGGGCAAGGAATGAAGAGCAAATGTTTATAATAATAGTAAAATTTGTTTAAAAGTTACATTATTTGATAATTCAAAAAGCTTTATTAAAATATTTCAAAATACTTTAAGCAGTTTCAGGTGATAAAGTACAGGTTCTTTCCCAAGTATTCAAGTAATGCAAAAATGAATAAGTATATGATAAAAAAATGGATATGAAAGTCATTTATTCTTCCTGAAATATTGATATGTCAAACCGTCAGTGATGATTCCCACATTACTGCTAGGGAAAGTTTATTTGCCTTTTATCCACATAAATGTGTGTTCTTTAATTTGTTATACAATCCTTAGCATGCAAAAGAAAGATTCCTATAAGAACACATGTCATCTTAAAGTCAAAATGCATTTTATTTATGGTGATTATTTGATAAAATGCTATTTTAGTGGTTAGCTATTTAATTCAAAAACATTTCTATAAACACTGACTGCATTAACTGATACACAAACTACACTGCTTATCACTCTGTCCTTCTAAAACTAAATTGCCTGAAACTATATAGCAACCATCGTGATAAATTATTTCCACAACTAGAGAATTGAAGGAGAATCAGATACATGTCTTTACCCCTGTAGTAAGAACACAATAGGAAAACACCTTACTTCGCAGTACATCACCCTGTTTATAATTGTTTTCCAGGTTATACTCAGTCTGAAATATCAATAATCTAGAAATAAACTGAAAAAAGGAAATAAAGGAATGTATATTGACATTATTTCCTCACACTCAGTCTTTTAATTATGATATGATCTTGAAGCTTACTCTTTTTCAGTCAGACAATCAGTGCTCTTTATTAATGTACACAAGCACATTATACAAAGAAAGGAAGGACAATGAGATATGCAGAACACGAAGTTTATTTATTTTTGGTTTTGTTTTTGAGACAGGGTCTCACTATGTAGTTGAGACTGACCTGGATCGCACTATGTAGCCGAGGCTGGTCTCGAACTCACAGTGATCCGCCTGCCTCAGCCTCCCGAGCGCTGGGATTACAGGCGTGCACCACCACGCCCGGCCAGAACATAAACTTTAAATAGGATAGCCATAGATTCCAGTCCTGGTTTTACCAATTAACAACCCATGGGTCTTGAGTAAGTTGCTTAATGTAATCACAGTTTTCTCTTCAACAAGGCTAATAATACCCATCTCAGTTCATTTATAAGAAGGGCTGTGGTTATGTAAAGGACCTACTACAGTGTCTGGTATAAAGTATGTGCTCTACCACTGTGGATACTTAATTTTCTAATATGAAATGAGACAAAGGAATCCCATTTGCTCATTTATTCGTCATATTAGGCTTCCGTTGCCTGTTGTGCTAGGTTTCAGAAGGATGTAGTTTACTTAGACACAGATCCTACTCCCCAAATGAGCTTATATAATAGAGTCCATTACCTATATAAACTAATTGTAATAACCAATCAAAAGTGGTAAATGCCATAACAAAAATACAAATAAGAAAGTGTGGTTGCATGTAGCTAGGGGATCAGGACAGGCTCTGTAAAGGAGAAGATACCTCCCTGAATCTTACCAAATAAGTAAGACAGCCATGTGGAAATAAGAAAAGACAGATTTTTCAGTAATCCTAATAGATTTAGGAAGGGATAGAAAAGATGTTTTATTATAGATACCATGTATTTCATGGTTGGAAATAGTAGGATTTATTTGAAACTCCTGAACGTCAAGCTACAGAATATAGCATAGTGTATGACCTATGGAATAAGGTTTGATTGATTAATAAAGACAAAACTAAACATACACATATGTACATACACATACAAACATCTTGTGAAGTTAAACAGGCTGATCTCAAGTTCTAGTCTCAAGTTATCCTCCCACCTCAGCCTCTTATTACCAGGCACTACAGGTATGCACCACCATACCTAGAAGAACTGTATTTCAAGAAAGCAATTGGTAATATCATAATGGATAAATTAAAATAGAGAAGAAAGTAAACATGAAAAGAATCACAGTTCAGCAAGTATATTTTGAACATCTGCTCTGTGCCCGACACAAGGAATGCAAGAATGAATGATTGCTCTTCAGAAGCTCACAATCTAATAAAACACATAAAAGCTAAAATAAACAATTAAATATCAGTACATTTTAACAATGATGCATACAAATAGCTATGAACATAAATGAAAAAAAGTGCTCTTGGCAAAACGAGAAGGCTTCCTAGGTGGAGTGAAACTTTTGCTAACCTTTGAAAGGTGGATAGGTATTTGTCAGACAGGAGAGGGGGAAAGTTTCCAGCAGCGCAGCTCCCTTCTTGAACAAAGATCCAAGTATTTGAATTTTCATGGAGCATCTTTATAAGTTCTGGGCTGATGGGCTGTTTCTATTGTGGAACCACATGCTCAAGCCTTGATCTCCTGACAGTATACAAAAAATACTTATATTGCTTTCTAGTATATTCTGATGCTTTCTCTAAAATCCTCGAGGGAAAGTATTACTTTGTACTCATTACTAGTTTCTTGGGGTTCAGCACAATGTGACTGCTAACAACTTCTGAATGAATGAGTGCATGATAAATGGATGCTTGGGTGGACAAATGCATGAATTGATAGTGGATGTTGTAAAGGAGCAAAGCTGATACTTTTCACTCCTTCGTATTTGTCATCCAGTAGGGCAGTGTCACATCATTAATTCCTTTGATTTTTTATTTAGCTGATGTGAACTCTTGGAATTCATTGAGAAGATCCAGGTGAAAGTAACAGATCTGTGCCTCTTCTACCTAAGGGCTCCTACTATCTTCCTCTTATTCATATATATATGTAGTCCTCACAAGGCCACTGAAAAATTAAGCTCCTAGAGTGGATTTAGATTCTCACCCTGTGATCTGAGCCTGGCACTCTCACTCTGAAGCTCTTTTAACCTCTCTGCTTAGTATACCTCTACTCTGCTTTCCAGTAATCACTCATTTTCTCTGTGACAGTCACCTCTGTCAGGGGCATATTAGAATTGTCACACTCTCATTCTGCACAGAGAAGGGAACATCCTCTCATACCTCCTGGCCTTATCCCATAGTGAATACAGTGTACTACAAAAAAATACAGTAGTTCTAATACCTTTAGAGTTCTTTGCAGGGGGATCTCTATATGCCTATAGTATTCTTAGGTTCTCAGTTTCAGATCTTTTCAGTTTCCTGAGAACCTTCTCATTAGTGATCCCTGGGTTTGTGCTCAAGAGATCTCTTTGTGGGACATTTCTCATCTGTGCTCCTCTGGCATTATCTTCAGCATTTCAGAACTCTGAACATGCATCTCTTATGTTCTACCACCCTGATAAAGTATGAATTCCCCCAGGAATAAAAGCCATGCTTCCTAAATCTAGGACCTTGGCCGGCTATCATTGTACATAGCATAGCAAAGTCTGCCATCTATTAAAAACAACATCTAAGGCCAGGGATTTAGCTCAGTGGTGCCACCGCCTGCCTCAAGCACATGGTCCCGAGTTCGATCCACAGTACCAAAAACAAAACAAAACAAACCTAGTGCATTGAAAAACAAAATTGTTATCTGACAGTAGCCTATGTAAAGGTAATGATCAAATTCATTAACTCATTTTTATCTGAAACCTCATACACACTTGTGATCTGCATTCCATATTTCATTCTTTGTAGTACTTTCTACCATGTTGTATTTTTTTCTCTCTTACTACAGTGTAAATTCCATGATAGCAAGGATTTTCCTAATGTTTTCTTTGTTACTGTTTACAGAGACTCTAAAATAATGCTTCTTACAGAGTAGGACTTTAATAAATACTTGTTACAGAAATTGTTTCAGTATAAATAAGTATAGCTTTATCATAGTAGCTCTAGTAAAGAAACTTCTTTTTTGGATTGGGGGGTATGCTACTGTTAAGATTTTAGAGGACATATTTTCATTGAACATTATGTAAATTACTTCTTAAGCTGCAAAATAAAATGTACACTTTTAAAAAGTTAAATAGGTAAATTAGAGTCATTCATAAGAAAATGGATACATTTTGATGATGTACTCCTAAGTGAAATAAATAAGTCACACATGTGTAAATACCAAATAGTTTCTCTGGTGTGAAAAACTATAATAGTACACAAGATCCTAATGGGATAATTAACAATGTGAAATGGAAGAAAAGGGCTAAAGGTGTAGGGAAAGTGGGAAGGGTAGGGGAAAGGTAATAAGGGAAAAGAAAAAAATAGAAGATAAAAAATGGAAATAAAGTGTTTGTAAATGGGGAAGGGAAGAGGGGGTGAAAGGAGGACAGGGACAAAGAAAAAAAAAGTTAAATACGTAGTTCTAAACAAATAGGCTCTTCCTCATTTATAGTTTAGTTGGTTTGCAAAATCAAATATTTATTGAAATTAACAAAACTTTATTGTAGTCCTATGTATACAATAAGTACCTAATCCCTGGCCACGAAAGGCTTATAGTAGAGATAAAGAAGTGCTACGCTAATGCTAGTGCAGTATTCACAGCCATACATAGGAGTTAGTCTCAATCCAGGGTAGGATAGAGGTTGTATTGGTGTCAGAGAAAGTTTTCTGAATAGTTGACACCTATTTTCTTGGGGGGGGTCCCCCTGGCTATCCATCCTTTATTATGTTCTTTGTATTTTGCCATACTCAAATGAGAGATACCATACCTGACACCTGTTTTAAAATCTGAGGGACAAATAGGAATTACCAAGGAAAGGGAAGGGACACACAGGTTTCTGCACTATAGGAATTCACTGTCTAACAAGACAGAGAGGTAACACAACCAACAAACCCTGACTCACTCTTATAAGAAATAGAGAGTCGAGAGAGTGTACTGAACACAGATGAGGAAGAGTTTGGTGCCTTTCAGCAAACTAGAGATTGTATCCCCGGGCAGGTGAAACTTGGACTATGCACTGAAAAACAGAACTGTGTTATGCAAAAGAAAGCATTGTATAGAGGAATGGAGACAAGTTGGCATCAGATGATATGCAAGGAGTTAGGAATGACTGACTATAGAGTAGAAGTGTTAAAAGAAGAGACTAGGGGTACACAGGGGCCACATATTAACGGACTCTGTATGCCATATTAAGGAACTTGAAATTTATTCTAAGAGAAGGGAAGAAATTCGTGATGAAGTTTGTCACCATGGAGCTCTACACATACCATACAGAAAAGGAACACTGCTCAGTGATTCAGCTCAGCACTTTCATATGAAACAGAGAGCCAAGTACATGGGAAAACATCAGAGAGATTCAGGAGTAGAGAAAAGATGAAGGCATGACACAGAATTCTTCTGTAGTAATTTTAGGTCCTTATCCTATATTTTTGTCTATTTGGCAAGGAAGAGGCCAGTTGTAGGTTAAAGGACCAGAGGAGCTGAGTCAGTTTTCTGAGTTCTTCTGGTCCCTGGCATGGGTGTATGCTCCTTGATGTTAATGCAGTTTGAGAAATTCTTGTATGTACTTGAGAGTACCTTTTAGCAACACTGACCTTGAGTAGATTTGTAGTAAACTAGAGCTTTTTTTCAAGCTAGCATTTCAGAACTTTCTTAGCGCTACAGTGGAACAAAGCCGAGCAAGTCTACTTTTTTAAAAAATGAAGGTAATCTTGAAGCTGGGAGATAGATGCATGAGATTTATTGTTATAATTTCTCTATTTTTATATTTTTTTAATTTCATAATAAAAATTTTAGTATAGTGCCCAAGAAACCCTGATAATGACTTAAGTGTTTTTATTCTTAACAAAATTTATTTTCCTTTCCTATGACATTAAGCATAATTCTTTAAATATATTAATGTACTTTAAAATTGTATCTTCCATTTATATGCAATACCAAGAATAAAGCAATATAATCTATAGAATATGTTACAAACAAGAGCAAATTATTTGCAGTCTCCCAATAACTATAACTGTATAGGTTAAAAAGAGTCATTTATAAAGCTGCCATTGTGTGCTAAATGCAGAACAAGCATGGATTTTCCTTTTTTATTTTTAAATGGCATTAATTTTTAGGAACAATTTTTAATCATTGATTTCTTTAACAGACTTTATAAAAGGTACCCAACATACCTTCCAGTTCTTCAGAGAGCTATTGAACAGTGGTACGGAGAGCCAGAATGTACAACTCCCATCTTAAAACTTATGGCAGAACTAATGCAAAACAGGTAAGCAGTGTGAAAGGGAATGGAAGAACAGTTTACTGTTAACAGTAATCTCCATTCTATAGGACAGACTCCTTCCTGTTGTGTGTATTCTCCAGGGTTAGCAAGGGCCCAGGAACTAAAATTTAGGGTGATTAGTGAAAACAAGAGAATTAAAGGCATAGGAGTGAAGAAGAGAAAAATAAAGGTATAATGTTTGTGTACACAAAGTTAAAAAGAAGAAAGATATAAAATACTTAGACATGTATAGAGACTTTACAAAATAAAAAATTGAAAGACTACAGCCACCATTACTTTAAAATATTTGAAATCACAAAATGGAAGGAAAAGCAGCTACTTTAACTATTTCACTACTGAAATGCTCTTCTATAGAATAGAAATAGGAAAGAAATTTAGTAGCCTCTGAGTTGAGATGTTTTGTGGGCACACAGTTGTTTTCTTTAGGGCCCTGACAGTTTGTCCCTGCTTTGACTCTGAGTTATACTTCTTCATCTATGCCAGAATGCAAGTACATGGATAATTTATGCACTTGACAATTTTTATTGAAATAGCAACCCAGATACTTCTCAGAAATTGCCTAGTTGACCTTGTAACTTACATAGACCAGTAGAGATTCAAATATTCTGCCTATAAAAACTAACAAAGATGTGGCTAAAAAGAAAAAACTGCAACAAGCTAATTGTGTTTACCTCTTTAAAATATGTCATTGTGGATATGGCTTAGCACCAAATTACCTGTCACTTAGCCATCTTGTTTCATCAATGCCTCTTTGTAAACAGCATCTTGGAAGGGAGATACCCAGACAGAGCAGGCGTGTGGGTTGCAGCGCTAATTTTATCTCAGTTGCTGAGTTGTTCACAACAATAATTTAAATTTTTTACCCTAAAACAAGATGTGGAAAAAGACTTGGCAAATAAAGAAGTGTGAGTATTCTTTTGAAAGCTGTAAATATTTTTTAAAAATTCTTATAGACACCTTAAATATTAAAAAAGATTGACTTTGTATTTTATATTAGAAATTTAGTTTTTTAATAAATGTCAACTTTTAATCATATATTGGTATTATATATTACTGATATGATAATACTAAAGAAAAAATATTGCATTGTATATAATAAAGCATTTTATGTCTGTCATAGGCAGATAAATTTGTATCTACTACAAATGCTCTAAGAATTACCTGGTAAAAATTTTTATCTCAGAATATGTTATCATGTCTATATTTCACTAGAATCTAATGAAAATTATGTATATGCATTTATTTAATCAGGAACTATATGCCTCTTGGCATGCAGTTGTCAATTATCAGTATAATTATCAAAAGTTCATAATATGCTTAAGCTATTATCTTTGTTATATAATACTAAAGTATTTTGGAAAAACAGTAAACTGTTCTATTCCTGGAAAACAGGGCTTTACCAATTTTTAAAAATATTTTTTGGTAATTTTTTTTCTAAAAGCAGTCTTAAGAGCACAGCAACAAGGTGCAGCAGAGCCAGCCATAGCCAGGGTGATGCTAAAAAGCAGACATGATCGCAGGGCAGCTTACCTGTCCAGAACCAGAGAAGTAGAATTATTCTCAGGAGCTTCTGGCATTTGTTTCTCTTTACTTAAGCATTACGCAGTAGGAACAATAACCTGTAATATAATTTAATGAGCTTTTGGAAATATGCTTTTGAAGTATGAGATGATTCATTATGCATTTGTGCAATGTAAAGGTACCTGCATTTTCTTTCTGTCACTTTAGATTTTTTTTTGCATTATTTTTATTTTATTTGTTTGTTTATTTATTTATTTATTTATTGTCTTGGGAATTAAACTGAGGGCTTTCATTACTCTAGGCAAGCAACTTTAGAATTTTTTTTAGATGTATAAATATAAATCTATCTCTGTTCAAGTATCTTATGCAAACGTATACATACACAATGGGTTTTTTTTTTTTTCTTAATTACTTTTAGCCAGCACTCTGCAGGAAAGGGGAAGGAGTAAGATATGTGTGATATCAGATGTCAGGGGGTATTGCATTGATAGTTAAAGAATGAACTCTGAACCAGAATATAAGTGAAAATGACTCTTCTTAATTGCGCAATATGTTTACAGTGAGAAAATTAGTGTACTTATTTTATTAGTATTAGAATTGTTGGTTGGAATAAACTTCAAAGGACAATTATATGCTGTTGCTTATACTAAATGAAAATTCTGGGCATTTTAAGCCTATATTTGAGTTTTTCTTCCCTGCACATGTAGTCCAATTTTTTGCTGTATTTCTTAGGTCCCAGCGTTTGAATTTTGATGTATCATCTCCAAATGGAATTCTTCTCTTCAGAGAAGCTAGTAAAATGATTTGTACTTACGGTGAGTATCCTGTTCCATATTTGTCTGTGCAATATATCTTTATATCATTGGGACACAGATTTTTTCTTTTGAAACTTCATATTTCTATGAATCTGTGAAGTATGTAAAAAGCCAGATAGCTTCAGTCACTGCCATACACACACAAAAAAAAAAAAAAAAATATAACTCAGGATTATATTGGCATGTCTGGCTAACTTGATAAATTTCTTTTGGATAAATTGCAATGTCAGTAGATAGAAAAAGCATTTGAAAGTTACAGCATATTCAAAATTGCTCACATTTACATTAAGGAGATTGCTATCCTGAGTCAAGGAATTCTTAGACCTGTATGTCACTGAATTTTGGGGAAGCATCCTTGTAAAGAGCAATAAATATTTTACTATAGGGGACTTTTAGGAACTGCACCCCAGAAACAGAATTCTTTGGTAAAGCTTGTCCTGTTGGATCACAACCCCCAAATTTTGCCATTTAAATAGCAATTTTGGCCAGATAACTACCCTAAAACCTAATTTTGACAATTCTGATAACTTCATCAATAAAATTATCTATTTTCTGAGATTTCAATGTAGCCAAGGAATGGGGTTAAGATGATAAGAATCCTCTATGATCTAATTTGGCATTCACTGATGTCCACTGTCAGCTGGGCTCTGTGCAGTGAATGTCTCCCTGAGAAATGTTTCCTTGTGACCTCTGTTCATCCTATTCTGTTTCACCTGTCTGTTCTTACTTTCCCAAATCCATAGCCAACCCTGTACATTTGACCTCAAAAATTGCCTGTGATTTTCATATTTGAGTACCTAAAACCAGATTTTATAAAATTTTGTAAAGCCTCTTTAATTTTGCTTGTATTTGTATGTGTGGGAACAGCCATTAAAATCATATTACTTTTTTCAAAAATAGAAGACTGTTAGTTTTTTAAAAAATAGAAAAATAAGTGTTGTACATTGGTTTTATTTACATTCAAAACACATTCTGGGACTCTGATCTATATACATTGTAAGCTTCTGCAAAAATGCTTAGTTTTATTTGCACATTTAATTTGTAAAGCTTGCACATGTGTGGAAACTATGGAAACCACCTAAGACAATAGACCTGTGCTCCCATTTTCATTTACCATAACTACATCACAACTTTTGCAACTGAAAACCATATAAAATAGAATACTTTGCCTTATAGAGGTAAAAAATGAACCCCTTTTAAGTATTCTAAATACAGTTCACCTTATTTTCAAGTGTGCAGTACAGTGATATGAATTCTTCAACAAGAATTGTAGTAAGAGTTAATTTCATAAGCCCAAGTGCCACTGTAATTCCCTTCAATATCTAATCATACTATTATACTAAGATACATGGTTGGAATTTCTTCCAAAAACAGCTTGCTATAGGCCCGGGATTTAGCTCAGTGGTTCCGCCTCCTGCCTCACAAACGCAAGGGCCCAAGTTCAATCCCCAGTACAAACAAAAAAAAAAAAAA